CTCTGTCTCTTTCTCTCACGTTTCCCATCCCTCCCTCCCTCGCTCCGTATGTGTATGAAACTAACGACAGTTCATTTGGAGGCCCAGGTATAATTATGTGTGCTTTTTTTCCCTTCATCATTGACTGCTCTGATGGCGAGGCTGATATGCTGTGTTAATATAAACATTTAGCCGGGTTATTAGGAGCCCTGAGAGCCGTAAAGGACGATGAACCTCCACTGTGATTGTCCTCTCTCATGCAGGATGTCCACCATAACTGTCTGCTGTCTATTCTTCCCTTTATCGCTGCATGTCCTCCCCACTGTCTCTCTATTCCTCTATTTATCGCCATCTTGTGTCTTTGTCTATCTTTGTCTAACGCCTGCTGTAATGTCTCCTTGACAGAATGAGAAGGCTTTCAAATCAACTGTCTGCAATGGTCATGAATGGTTGCCACTTTGGGTTTGTGATAATTTCATTGTGGAAATGACAGTTGAGGTGGAGCCTGAGATCAGGAGAGCTGGCACGCTACTGTGGCTTATTCATCACTTGGATGCACACTGTAACCAGAGACAAATTTACTATTCCAAATTTAAATATTAGATATGTATTTATTTTACGATCACTAACAAAATCAAACCGGGAGAAATTAAATATTGGGCAATTTTGCTTGATGGCTTTTTTGCCGCTGGGTGTTGCGGAGTGAATATCAAGCAAATAAAAATCTATCCAACCTAATTTTAGAAAGTTAAATCCTCTTTTCTACCTCTTCTCTTTCTTTCCCTTTTGGTCCTGTATCCGTGATTTAAAATGAAAAGTGCTCTGTAGAATCTTGCAGTTGCAGCTTTCATGACGTTTCTGCCAATGATGCTTTCAACACTGGTTTGGTCAATTTCCTGGCATCTTGTGCCACCTTGTTTGGTGTGGTCACCACAGTGCCTCCTCTCTCTGGTGATGCAGACACCATCTTCTGTTCCCTCAGTGGTCAGAATAAGGACATTGGTGCATGTTGCTCATAATCGTCACAAATGGTGAGTTCTCCCCCTGTTCTTTATGTGCAATCATAAACACACCCACATCTGCATTTTGGCTCTGTATCAGTTTTAATCCCTGTCTATACTAACACGCCTAAAAACGTCGTCGACAACGACAACCCGCATGAAAACTCATGTATATTGGGCATGCACGTGCTGGTAGAGACAGGAAGCATTTGGTTGTTAGTTGCAGAAAGAGCAAGGCTTAAAATGAGATTGCTCAAGTAAAAACTTTTTTCCGACACATTTAAGCAGCTGAATCATTTTAAAAAAGAGAACAAAAGCTGTTAGCAAATACAACATGTTCAGCAACGCTTGATTAACTATATTGCGTTCTATGCTGATAGCCGGGGTTAATGCCATTTGCTCTCTTCCGACAGGGGGTCACGTGATCCGAGCCTAATGATTCAGTGAAAGCTACGTCATGACTGAACGGACCCAATCATTAAGTGGTTGTGAGTATCTATGTCGTAGTTTCTCAAGCATCTTCGTTACTGCCCGTCCAGACTAAGCGCAGCCTCATAGTAGTTGGGCGACTGTGGCTGAAGTTCGGCAGTTCAACCCCAGTGTTCCCCATCTGCATGCCGAAGTGTCCTTGGGCAAGATGCTGAATCCTGAATTTCCCCTCATAGAACAAAAAAGTGCTGCTAACAGATGCACCATATAAATACAAACCATTTGCCATTTACTAAAACTGGGCCAGCAACTTTTACAAACTTCTCATTTTTAACGGCTATAAAACTCCTGTGTGGTCGCCAGCTGAATCTGTAGCAATATAGTTGTGTGGATATTGCTTCACTCACTAACTCACTCAGAATTAGCCAGCTGTTGCAACATCCACACTATCAGCCAAGGAATTAGGCCCATATTTGCTGATGAGCGGATGGGCGTCTGGCTGCGTGTGTGTGTGTGTCAGGCCATTAGTTATGGTGTGTGTTGTTTCAGCTCTGGGCAGGTAAACAGTCAGAAGGACATTAGCTTCCAATCAGCCTCTGCTATATCACCTAGAAGTTTAATTAATTTCAATCCATAGGGCATGCATGTGTATGGAAGGAATTTCTACGTGTGTGTGTGTTTGTGTGTGTGTCTGTTTCCATTTAAACTCCCTTATAACCCTTTCACGGTCAGGGTGTCTAAAACCGCTGGAAAGGTCAGCACATAATCACTCTCTTTAGCCTGACTCACATTTTAATTGACTATCTTACACACACACACACCATAGCCCTACCTTCCCTCTACACACACATACTGTACATACACACGCACTCCCCCATCATTACAGCGGGTATGGATCCCAGTATGAATTGATGATCTCCTATCTAAAGCCTAATCACTCTGCAGGACCTTAGGGACGCTCAGTGATCCGTTTCCCTCCACTACTCCACGGGAAACTGGCACTCACACGCTGAGCCTGTTGATGAGTAGAAAATGAGCATTCTACCTGCTTTAATATTGTCGTTCATCACAAAGTCCGCTGGAAAATTGAAGCGGACGTAAAATGGCGTGTGGAGACAGGCATCAAGATTGGAGAGATTGCTGGAAGTGAGGGATTAATAGTGGCACGCAGAGGCAAATTTAGTTTGGTTCATGATGATTTTCCTCCTATTGACAAGTAATCACATGTAATGACTGCATATAGATGTGAGATCTGTGAGGTGATGGGAAAAGGCAGATGAAGAGAAGGCTTTGATCGCTGATGTTTTACTTCAAGTATACTTTACTGTACAAATAAAATGGTAATAAAAGGTCTTGCAGCAAAGTTACAGAAAAAAACCTTCAATTATTCAACAGAGAATTTATTTTTACAGTACAGATACAAATAC